CAATCACGTCGCGGTGGTTTACAAAACGCTACACTAGAGTGTTGGAGACCGCCGCCTAAGTCCATAAAGGATGTGGTGGCGGCAGGAAAATAGGGTTGGCTCGAGGGTCGGATCGTCTAGACGTTCAGGAACTGAACCGTGTGACGGAACAGATGCGAGATGATCTGGCTCATGAACGGACTCGGCGTTTTAAGCTTCAGGATCTGTGGAAAGATAGTTACTATTCCTTTACGCACGATCGTTTCGACGATCGTCACGCAGGTGCGTTCGCGCAGCTTGAGAACGAACGTTCAACTCGTTCTCTTCGTGATGAGCTGGCTGCAGCTCGTGGAGACATCGCTCAGCTGCCTGAGCAGGTCTCTTCGCTAGTCGACCAGACTGGCTCGTTGCAACGGGACCACTCGAAGGTGGTCTCAGTTCTCGACCGCAGAGGTGTTCTTCACACCTCGAAACGTGCTCGTACTAATAGTACGGGACGAGACGTCCAACATAAAGCGTAGGATTCGTACGCATCTACGGGGCAATTCAATCGTTTATACGCTGCCCATTCGGCGCAACACACGAAATCGACCGGTGTACCTGGCAAGTAATTTACTACTGCCCACGTTTGTCACTGCGTTTTTCGGTAGGTTTACTGTAGACAGTAAAACTAGGTCTCTTAAATCAAACTAATGAACATTTGCTCTTCCATGGTTGTCTCCTTTTCTTTTCTGTTCGTCCAGTGCATCTGCAATAGAGTCTTGAACGAAGCGGAGAACCGCTTCGCGAGTAAAAAGAAATTCCTCTGCTGATTCATCCTTGTCAACAGCTATGCGATTCGAGTACACTGCTAAAAGAACGTTGTCTTCACCAAGGAGGGCGTCATCGTCCTCACTCTGGCAGTCATTGGCGATGCTGAATATACCAGCATCGTCGTCATCGTCATCGTCGGTGTCGATCGTATCGACATCTACATCCATCACATCGACACCATTGTCGAAGGGTGATGAGCAAGAACCAATTCGGTTTTTGTTTGAGCGAGTCCACCCCCCCCTTAAAATAGAGTCACACTCTAAAAAGACGGGTAAACGTGGATGGCGTAGGCCATTCACGAAGAACGGTGTGTGCGTTGTTGATGGTGAATTCCGCTGTCGGCAGGAATTCTCCTCAGCTCGTAAACGAGTGGACACACCCTCGAAGTACCTTTTCGAGGACACGGTTGACGCGTTCTGGTTGACCATCTGTTTCTGGATGGTCAGAAGTCGACATCGTCAAACGTGTTCCAAGTGAACGGAATTAGGATTGCCAGAACTCCACTATTAAACGAGGGTATATCAGACACGAGTTCACGGGGTAACCCGTGAAGTCGGAAGATAGTATCGATGAAGACACGCACACAGCTCTGGGCTGTGATTGACTCCGGTACAGCAACAAGATGTACCATCTTGCTGAACCGGTCAACAAACACAAAAAAAATGTTATTCTTATGAACGTCTTTGGGAAAATCGAAGACGAAGTCCATCGATACGGACTGCCAACACTCTGCCTGAATCGGAAGAGGCTGTAGGAGTGCGCGGGATGAAAGACTAGGCTTCATCCGTTGACAAGCTTTGCAAGCGCGAATACATTTGCGCACAAACGCATACTGGCAGGGCCAGTAGAAGTCACGACTCACCATGAGGTAAGTCTTCTCCCTACCGCGATGTCCACTTGTTGGGGCATCGTGACACTCATACATGATGTGCAATCGCAAATCATTATGAGCCGGAACGACGACACGAGGTGTATCGCCGTTGGCTGCTGTATAGTACGACAGTCCATCACGAACAGAATACCGTTCGGTTGATGAGAGGCATTAAGACAACAAGCTTTTCAAAGCTTGACCGCACGGATTGGATACGTAATTCATCAACCGCAGAAGAGACTCATCTTCTGTGTATGCTTTTCGCACGTCATCGAGCAGATTCGACGACAGAACACTCACTGTTAGTGTCGCGACAGTGGGATCACCCCTACTGTTGGGTTGAGAAGTCGGCTGGAAATCGGGCCGACGCGAAAGAGCATCAGCGACGACATTAAGTCGTCCTGGTTTGTACTCGACGGAAAAGTTGTACTCCGCGAAGAAAGACAGCCACCTCGCCATTCGTTGCGAGAGGTGTGGACTGTTTACGGCCACGCGTAACGGCACATGGTCGGTATAAACGATATAAGGCCCATCTTCTAAGAGACATACCCGAAACTTGGCCAGTGCATATTTAATGGCAAGGAGATACTTGTCATGCACCGGGTGATTACGCTCAGCTGCTTGCAGCAGACGCGATTGATAACAGACGACGCGCTCAACGCCGTCTAAGTCGTACTGCATTAACGCGCAGCCGATTGCAAAATCTCTGGCGTCACAGACCACATGAAATGGTCTATCCTGGTCTGCAATTGCTAACAGGCAATTGCACAAAGCTTTTATTGATGCCTTCGAAGGAGTGCTGACACTCAGCACTCCATGACCACCTCTCGTTTTTCGTAAATAGACGAGAGAGATGAACGGTCATCTCGGCGTAGTTGCGCAAGTATTTGTGCCAGTAAGCCACCAAGCCAAGATACTTTCAAGTTCCTTGACGTCGACTGGTACAGGCCAGTCGCAAATCGCCTTGATCTTTTCCGGATCAGGTCGTAAACCGTTTTTACCCACGATGCAGCAAAGAAGCGGTATTTTTTCGCTGCGAATACACACTTCTTGAGGTTCTCGAACAGCTTACGCTCTCGCATTAGAGTAAGGACATTCCGGACGTGGATTCTGTGAACCTCCACGTCCGTTTTTCCATCCATAGCCCGGCTATGGACGAAGACATCGTCGGAGTAACTCGGTGCAAATTCGCGCACCGATCGCAGCAGGTTTGTAACGCATCTGTTAAATGTTGCGGGGGGCGTTACTTAGCCCCTGTGGCATCACTAGCCACTCCCAGAGCATACCACTGGGGGTGCTCACTGATGCGTAAGAGGTATCCCGTTCACGCATGAGGATCTGATAGAATCCATCCATCAGATCCATGGACGAAAAGATGGTACTCTTTGCATACCATCTGTGATGACGTCCTTTCTTGTGATCGGCGTTTGGGCCGGTCCCGTTGCAGTGTTCAATTCGTTTAACGCGTGCACTACCCGCAACCCTCCTGTGGCCTTTCGCACACAGAAGGTCGATGAGCTGTGTGGGGATGTTGATTCCCTTACATGACAAGCCGCTAAACGGTCGGCAAATAATTTGTCGATCGCTGTGACCTGTTCACGAGGCAGTGGCCACTGCTTCATGACACAGTACTTCGAACCGGGTTTTAGTTCGATCTCATGCCAAGTGCCTTTGTCCTTCAGCAGCTCGCATGGCATGGATTCCAGGATACATCCCTGAATTCAACCAGATTCTTGTACAAAGATTTGTCTTCAAAGACTCCCAAGATTTAGACGTGTATCGCTCATTCCGGGTCTTCTCATCAAGGACACTTTCGTCCATCGATGAGCTCCTGATAACCCGTTCGTTCTCAACAAACACTTGTGCCGACTGAATATCGAAGACGTACTCGTCCTCTGTGACAAGTGCGCAGATCTGCTTGATCTTGTCACTACCCAGATCTCGCAAGAATCTTTTAGATTCTAGCGTTGGCAACTTGACCACCTCCGAAGCTGACTTCGGATGTGTAACCAGATCAAGTGCATAAGCGACTACACTTGATCCGTCATTCACCAGGACATAAACTGACTCGGTGATTCTCTGGGAACACACATCTGCAAGTGGTTGGGGATCCACGCCCTTGACATAAACCTTTGGGAGTAATTGCTCTCAGGAACAATGGAATTTTTTTCGTTACGTGTACTTTTACGGTCACGTACTCTTCGATCGGTTCTCTTTCAGTCGATCGGGCTTGCTCTGCGATCGAATTTCTGATAGTCGATCTTGCTTCAACGTGTTGTCCATACTGAACAACACTAATTTCTCTTCTTGGATGCACCCTTCTCGGTGTGCATCCGTGTTCCAGTCCACTCGATCTCTTCGAGTGGTGAACCTTCGGCGCAGCCTGTGTATCTACACAGATGCAGGAAGCTGGTTCCACGGTGTAGTGGCCTTTTGCATTGTGGTCTTGTGTAGTCGTACAAACGACCGTACCACAAGTGAGGCCATCGCACTCACTCGTAGTTCATCCACGCGCTTGCGGACGCTCCATGACGTTCATCAGATGGCCATCCGATGAACAAACAGCAGGCATCTGCACGGATCGATGCTGCCAGCTAACCCATGGATGGTACTTTCTAAGCCATGGCAGACCAAGGATGAAATCAAATTTGTCATCCAAATCTAGTACGATAAAGACATCATCGTACTTCTTTCCATCAGCGTGTAGTGGATTCCCACTACACGTTTGTTCATTGTTACGAATGTGGCTGTACAAGGCACACCATCATCCTCGTTGGAGGGTACTCTCGCTCAACATAGTTACGCCTGCTATTCCCTAGCGACTGGCGTTGAATATAACTGTTCGACGCCCCACAGTCAACTAGGGCGCGAAGTGATATTCCACTTGTCACTTCGACCTTCAAAGTGATGAGAGACACCTCATCACCAAGGTCAGTAACATACAGCGACTGTGTGTTGGGAGCAATCTATGTCAAGAGTCCTGCAAATTCTCGTGACGATGCTGGATCAGCAGGGTGCTCCGCCCCTACTGGCCCTGACCGTTCTTGGCGGTCCGACTTGCTGTTGCGGCTTAGCGACATGGTCGGACCCACGCCTCGGACCTTTCCTTGGCCAACTGTGGTCATCACGTCCTGTCTTCGTACGTGTTGCGGTGCTCGGGACACTACACTCATGAGCATAATTTTCAATCTTCAGACAGCGATGGAACCTTGCCGTCGCTTGTGACTCAGAGAGCTAGAGTTCTCGCTCTCGGTGTAATAGAGGTCTATTGGTTCGGAGCCTCCTGTTTCCTGTAATCTCGTTGGACGATAGTTTAACGAGTTGGCCTGAGACTGTCTCAGGCTGAAGTCTTTTGTTCCACATACGCTCTCTCCTTTTCCAGTGTATGGAAGTCCTCTCGGAACATGTAGGTCTTCACCGGCCCATCTACAAGGCCGTAGATGAACACGTTGATGAGCGTGTGCTCATCAACAGGGTTCTCCATAACGCTACTCGCAAGGTAGCGCAGGTGCTGTGCATAAGCGTGCACGTCACGCTTACCTTGCTTGAGTCTCAAGAGTGCAGAGCGTGCTCTCAACTCGGCTCTCGCATTCTAAAAAGAAACTTCATCGGTTCCTTTGTACCTTGAGATACTACTCTTCAAGGTTTCGGGTCGACGCATGTGCGTCGGCCCACCCATCGACTGATGAGAGCCTTGCTGCTGTAGCAAGGCTATCTTCTGTCTTTCTACGGCAAGTTTCCCTTGTAGGAACTTGTTGATAGCAGCGTGTTGCTGATCGCTGCTTATAGACTCCAACGTACCACTGATGGCGAGTTCGCCCATGATCACACTCATGCGGCCGACTGCTTCCCACTCTGAGTCACTCATATGGGAGTAGCCTTCACGTGTGACATAAAAGCTGTCGTCTTCTATGTCCAATATGTTCATATTGGACCGACACTAGGTAGTAGTTGGACGGACTGCAAAGTGCTATCAGGTGTAACGGGGCACACTTTGTTTGGGATGCCGCGAAACTACACTAGTACGTGCAGAGGAAGCTAATCTACTAAATAGCTAGATTGAGTAAAGGTAAAAAGAGAACTGCATTAAATAAAGTTTAGCTATCAATGTAACTTCCACCTTTGTCTAATTATATTAAACTACGCCGTCGTATGACGACAACCTGCTCACCACTCATTGCGCGCGTCTAGCAGCGATTGGTGGCAATCTATGGTTGGTGTGTCTGATATAAACCAATCTTGGAGCAGCGAATGAATATTATCCTACAAGGGAATACTATTCCTTCAACATTATCCATCTCGGATAATATTGGTAGAATATTGTCATGCTAGACAAAATTCCTATTGAAACCGTTTGGTGTCACTATCATGAAACGGGCCACTTTGTTACATACTATGTCATAAAAAGCTATTTTGCGGTCCTTTCGACGCGTAAAGAAAAATTGGTTTCAATGTCAAAGATGACTTATATTTAATGAGAGCAGCAAATTATAGATCAAGTTACCGATTGGTTTATGCAGTGATTGGATGTCATCTCTATATTTGCGCATCACTACGTGCGAGTCTAAATTCTTTTAATGCTCGCTTGAAATGACGTAGCTCACTTATGTCAATAAATGACGTTTGGTCCCATCTATGCTTCATTCCCATAATTACAAGTACCGTTAATGCATATCGCATACACGAGGGTGTGTCACATAATGTGTCCCACCCACGTGGTAGGTCTTAAGGACTAACACACCATTTTAGACCTTTAAGTTATGTATCGCATACGAAACGGACACGTGTAACATATAAGCACTAATTCCGTCACGTTTCATGCAAACAACCGCTGAATTTACCTCAATTATCGACGTTGCCTCACCATACTACAAGAACGCGAAGCTAGAGGATTAATTAACTGTCAATCAATACAACCTTATGCTTCCGGTCACAATTTTATTTCGAATAGATAACTGATCACCTGCACAATTTACGTCTTCTAACGACGTCGATCGAAAGTTTTTGATTACCATTTTTATAGTCATCAAAATGTGATCGAGCGCCAGAGCTCTTTTTTTCGCTGTGTGGCTTTGGTCAGCATCTAAAGACTGCTTGTGGTTTTTTGAGTAGCGGTTATCTCTGTAAGGTATAATTTCTGACACGCTAAATAGAGTTCAAGGAATGCATAACCAAACTTTCCCTATCAATGGGTGTACTTAAGCTTCAGGCGATGCAAAAATAGTAACTACTTAGCCATTGACCACATGTTTAGCTTTTATTACTTACATAAGTTAGTCAGATACTATGTGTGGAAGAATACCGATAGCCGAATGGATTAACGGATTAGGACGCTGCTAGTAATACGCGCCTATGAAAATTGAATCAATGCTTCACAAAGAATTTTAAGATGCGCTATGTCAAGGAAAATGATATCATCTAGCGCTCTAGGCTTCAGAAGACCGCAAAATGGCGATTTCATTCTCTTTTACTGATGAAGAAGCACAACTTTGTGCGTCACACCTTCAAATGTATTCAAGTCAACAATTAGTAAAACGCATGTATTTTTGCGAAGAATGTTGCTTCTAACACCCGGTGTGTAAGAATATATGTGGCCACTGAATAATTATCTTCAGCATTCGTGCTGGTCTAAATTGTGCATAAGCGATTACCACATAAGCTGATACCATGAATTCAACAAAATCATTTAGTTATCAACCATTCACATCTATGCGATAACACTGAGCATACAAATGGTTCAGATGCCTGTTGCGGCCAGATAATTCAGAATGAGGATCCGAGATGGTGGCTTCCACAAGTTATCTTCTGGGACTTTTTATCTGTATGAATTGATCGATTCAGGTTAGAGTGGCAACGGTGTTGGTTTATAAAGCACTTGAATACAAAAACACGCAGCATCGGTCGACTATATTTGTGGCTCAGCACAGTGATTCACTGCACTGACTGTTCTGACGTACGCATGCACTTCACAAATGGCTTGGGCTTTAAAATTAAGTCCGACAAATCTTTACAATAAATTGTGTTGCTAAACCAAATTACCCGACGACAAGCTGCGATTTTAATAGGCAAGATTTGTAACGGGGCACCGGTCGCTTGTACTTTGACTGTACAAACTACTTACACTGAACACAGAGTAAAGTGGTGCCACAAGACCTCACGTACACGCATCGTGCAGAAGAAGGTTTAACACGAGAATAGGGGTACAAGTAGAACTGCGTTTGGTATAGTTAATTTCCTGTACATATATTTAGTCTTCATTTTACCATTTAAACATACAAACATGTTTTGTACCTATCTGCTCACCACTCATTGCGTTCTTCTGTCTTGGCTCGGCTTTATTGGTTAATAGCATTAGTTTATATCAACCTAAGAGCGTGTGTTATTTCTCCAGCACAACATTGCTTGTTAAGCCATTATTGTGAGAATGTCTTGTTTGTCTTGATACAATGATCGTCCTTCATATTGATCTTTTGTACAATATCGTGTAACTGAGGCACCCCGTTACAAGGATAGTTGCGTAGAAACCGTGGTAAAGCTTGCGGCAAATGTTCTTAACCGAACGGTCGTCACATTTCCACGACGCCAGCAAAGGTAACGCAGCCTGATAAAAGCTTTGCATCCGACAATTACAAAGTTTTTCGGCTGGAATGTAATGCCAGCTAGCGTTTAAATAACTGATCGACTCGGCATACGTTGTCACAAGCAGAAGCCGGAAAACTTTAATGCTGATGAGCGACAGTTGTTGCGTTTGATTCAAGTCAATGAGAAAAGCCAATTCATGAACAAACGTTATCGCGCTGCTAGCGGCCATGGTACGGTTGCAGCTGTACTAAGAAGACGTTGTCCAAAGTAGACTCATTACGTAATTTTTGTTCTTCTGTCTACGACCTCTGCTTGTTTTAGATGTGTCCTTTCCCTACCTCAATAGCGGACTCTGATGTAATCAGACAATAGACTGATCAACACAGAGGAGATGATGATCAGCACTAAGCAGCAAGAACACAACATAAGCGATCCCTTGAAGCACTGAACACAATACCAATGCTGCGCTCTTTGTCCAAAATCGTAGAGAGGTTGATGAAGCGCTGTATAAAGGCTCGCAAGTGAAGAGAGTCGCATCCCTTCTTGCTTCTGTATTTAAAATACTGTGTCAGGCGTTCGACACCCCAGGACAATTTCTCGTTTACAACAAAAAGGCTGTGCATAATGCAGACATGACAATACAAGACATTCGAATAATCATGGATGCTTATTCAATGCACATTAACAGCGACAAAGACTACGATTATCTTCAATGACCCAAAACTCGCCTCATCACCATTATCTTCATCCTTAATGGGGAAACAGGTGAACACGCTCGAGTCCGAAGCAACGCACGTCAATCCATGGCACCTTCATGCTAGCACAAACAATCCCCACGAAACTGTAGTCATCGAGAAAATTTCGAGGCTTGTAAACTTGTCATACAAAGCTATGCAATAGCATCCACATGTTAAAATCTTCTTTGTCAGGTGTGTTGAAGTCGGTGACCGGAGCGACATCTTTTCTAACACACTTCTTATGCTTCCCTCTTCTGCACCACCCTGTCAAAAGTCGCTGCCCTTATATCGAAAAAGTAAGTGTCCCAAATGCTCGTTTTATAATATCAACAATCGTCTTCTTCATTGCGGTGATCCTTTCCTTGATCCTCGATATAAGCGCTGTCTTTTGCCCACCACCGTTTGCCGTAGCGGTCTCACTTATCACTTTACTGGGTTTTGCGTCGGGCTCAGCGAAGAAGAATTTTGCGTCCGATTTTCTGCCAGAAGTTTTGCTGGGCCTTTGTCCGGACTTTTCGTCGGGCTGTGCGTTAGGCTTCGCATCCAACTTTTGGCCAGAAGATTTGCTAAGCCTTTGACTGGGCTTTTCGTTGGGCTGTGCGTTAGACTTCGCGTCCGGTTTACCGTCAGAAGTTTTGCCAAACCTTTTACTGGGCTTTGCACTAGGCTGTGCGTCGGGGTGTTGCGCGTCCGGTTTTAAGCCAGAAGTTTTGCTGTGCCACAGTCCGGGCCATTTGTTGGGCTTTGCGTTAGGCTTCGCGTCCGGTTTTCCGTCAGAAGTTTTGCCAAACCTTTTGCTGGGCTTTGCACTAGGCTGTGCGTCGGGGCGTTGCGCGTCCGGTTTTACGCCAGAAGTTTTGCTGTGCCACAGTCCGGGCCATTTGTTGGGCTTTGCGTTAGGCTGTGCGTCGGGCTGTTGTGCGTCCGGTTCTCCGTCAAATGTTTTGCCTAACCTTATGCTGGGCTTCGCGTTAGGCTGTGCGTCGGGCTGTTGTGCGTCCAGTTTTCCGTCAGAGGTTTTGCCGGGCGTGTTGCTGGGCATCTCGTCGACTTTTGCGCTCGCAGTTTTGGCTTGTTTTATGCGTTCACGAATCCCCTGCACCCTGTACTTTACAGAGCTACCAATCATTGCGAACTCATGTTGAATCGTCTTCACTGCTCGTTTGAGGTCTAGGTGCAGACGGCTATAGCCCGTCACTCGAAGCATCCGTTTGCCGTCGTATACGGACTGAGTGGCTTGGTCTTCGTCCGGCATTGTCAGCGTGGTCAGCTGTTCATCTGACTTAGCCGAAAGAGCTCCACTGCGAGCGAAAGCGATGAGCATGAGCACGAGCAAGCGGAACAGATTGGTCATTTAAGATGGATGCACGCGCAGTAGACGAGCGGTACACAGATAATGCAGGAGTTGTGGCACACGCAGAGCAAATGGCGGAATGGATTTATGTGTAGGTCTCAAGTGAAGGTGAGTGGTGACCGAGCGTACAAGAGAGCGAGAAGAGGTGGCACGGGATAATAACGGCATGTGCATCTATATCAGCTGCGCAGATACTGGTCGCTACGTGCTGGCTACGTAGATGTACAGGTTATGCTGTGCCAAAGCAGTGTGGACCAGATTGCGTCATACCTTTTGAGCCGACAGTATTTGATGATGATGATGGCGGACCAGCTTCAGTGCCGTTTATGTAGTGGTGGGTGCCAACGATCATGAGCTTTCAAAATGCACAAAGCAATAGGGACTACGCTCATACGTACGTTTACGCCTACGCTCACGCCCATGAAGCGGGTCGAAAAATAGGACGTGTGGCCGGTGGGATGGTTGGACTGAGGATCGGCGGACAGCAGAGAAGACAAAAAAAGGGAGAAAAGCATTGAGCATGTATTCAGGCCAGTTCTAGATCGATGTAAACTCCATCAAAGCAGTACTGATTCTACATCAACACCACAAAAGAAAAGAAGATGTGAGCCCGCAGTCCGCCCTGCTATAAAACAGGATTAAAGAACGGCGTGGCTGCTGATAAGTCTATCCATTTTTAGACAACTGTCAGACTAATCTTGGTGTGCGCAGTACAAACAGCCAGTCACTTCCGGGCTGGCTAGGGATGGTTAGGTGAAAAGTTCCTGACAATGATATTTTAATTAACGTGTGTTGAATTTGAAAAACAGGACATCATACTTAAACAGACCTTTCAGCAATTACCAATGAACTGCCTAATAATTGGTCAAAGAATTGTATAACGAAGTTGCGCTGAAACCACCCCCACTGTCCGTTACCATCTAGCACGAAGTCGTTAGAGTATTTGACATCCGGTAAAAAGCATGGACTATAATCCTGACAAATGGTCATAAAGGCCCACTGTTCGTTCCAAAGGCAATGTACATGCCTTCTCGGCGCCACTTTTAATTCTATCACATTTCTTTGCAATTAACAAATGAAATAGGCCACCTTCGGACACCCCGATCTATCAATGGGCTTCCATAGAAAAGGTGAAAATGGATGCAAAGTCAAGACCAAGTTCAATCACTGCTCACTTATTTTTTAAGCTACGGGTGGATGGATGTTCAGATCTTACAGCTATTCTGCGTTATGTTACTGGTCTCTCTGCTACCAGCATGAAACAGCTGTGCAAAGATACGCCCGGTGAGGCGAAATTTAAGCATTTGATCCTAGTAAGCAACAGGTTGGACGGCTAGTGTGTATGCAGATCTATAGACTTCTACAAAATAATTAGTGAAATCACCTCGGGCACAGTTTTTCCATCGCATTTGAAGTTTTTCACCCAGTCCGGCCCTTTTACATGGAAAGGCCCAGATTTGTAATGCTGTAATCTTGCTAGAAGCAGGTGAAAATGAAAACAACAACTAGTTTCAACGTAAGACGCTTGTAAAAAGCGGTAGGTTGTTAAAAGTTGGATAAAAGGTGTTTATAGCTGTTTAAAATGGTGGATGCTTTTTGCCTAGAGTTCCTAGGGCTGGCACCACGTGCCAAAAGAACCTATCCTTCACGATTTGTAATCTCTCGCCGAGACGCTCGGTGCGTGCCAGCTCAGTTTTACGAAGTAGACTACCCCTAGAACATGAATGGTGGATCATGTGCTCCATTTGTATCACGTATCGATGGGTACAGTGTAACGGGGTTACACGCCGGATATTCAACCGGTTATGTCGTGTTTCCACACCAGGTAAAGATCGGTTCATCTGAGTGGTACAGTCTTGGTTACATGTACTTACGATAATACCGTACCTTATCGGTTAGGGATAAGAAATCGGACTTCTGTCATAGGATCGCGATGTAGAAGTCAGTCAGACAAGGTTTAGGGTTTTATTATCGTAGTTAAAGTGTAAAAAGTCCCTTTCCTCTTATGAATCGTTGGAAACAAGTGCCAAGTAAAGACGTACTGTGTTGTTAAGTGCAGCACCCTTGTAAAGGCGCTGACTCTTTTTTAACCAGTAGTGTCTAGTTATTGTGTGATTCCATCAATCTTAATCCCTAAGAACCCGGCATTGTCAAGTTTGTACGATTGGACGACTGTACGTAGTTGTGTGTTTGTCATAACTAAGAGACTTTTTGAATCCAAGAATTCCTCTGTTGAGGAACGCTCAGTGGATTCGCTACACTTGGTAGCACTTGTAGTCAATCTACACTGAGTCTTCACATCATTAATTATCTGCGAGGATAAAACCGCCATGAACCTCTCTGAGGCTCAGTAGATCACCCTCAGAAAGTCTTAAGGCGTTGATCGGGCACGAGCAAGTGGATCTTAAAAGGGTTCAAGGCCTGGACGCACTTCGTGTACGTCTTGAGGCCTTCTTGAACATTGGGTCCACGTTGATCGGACAGGTCCAAGACCACTCGGTATCTGCCATGACCCCTCGGTATATTTTAGTACCAGAAACTGAGTCAAGGACTCTCCCTCTGGTCTTAAGTGTCGAGACTTCAAGGTGTAAAGAGAGAGAAAAAATCCTTTGTGAGTTAGAAAGATTTGGGTTGCCATCGCAAGCTTTGTTGCGGTCAGAGCGGCAAAAGGTGGCCTGGTCCTATCGAGTTTAGGAGGGCTAGCCAGGGAGTGGGTCTTCAAATTTTAGCACATCGATAGAAGAGGCTTTTTCTACCTGGTACACGCTAAATCATCATCCATCTCGAGTGTTTGCCCCGCCTAATCAGGCATATCGCGTGCGATCACGCTTCCTGTCAAATCGCCAGGGTAAAAATGACTTAGTCAATTATGTTTAGGAGCTGCGAACCCTCATCGTTGCTATGCAGCTTAAACCTTTTCCTGAGACGGTTCCAGTAACCATTTCATGAAAGGTTCTTCGCTTTGGCGTTTACAGAACGAAAGTGTTTCGTGCGCAACCCTTGCCATTTGAGGGTGTAGCGGACATAGCGTTGAGCGCAGAATTCAACTCTAAAGCTGCCCGCTATAAATTTCATAAGTTTCAATCGAACTCATCGAGCAATGCTCATCTCATGGATAGGACAAAATCCATGGACTTTAGTTTAGCTATTTAAGACGAAGAAGCTGAGCACTACACTATCAAACAGATTTCGAGCATCCGTAGATGTTTTACCTGCAGAAGCATCAAAAACCTTCGCCCAAATTCCTATTTGATAAGGACCACACAGGCTCATTAGAGCGGACCTCCCTTCGATGACCAAAGAGTTGGTAAGGAACTAGAAAACGTCGAGTACAAGTAGGCATGAGGCGCCCTGCCAGGTAATATTAATGCTCTGTTGTACCTATGGAAGGTATTGAGGAACAGGGCCTAGCCTCAAGTGGCTCGTGAGCAAAATCACAAAGCATGAGTACAAGCTAGGCTTATTATTTTTGATAGCAACGGTGGAGGGCTTGACTAGCCATGGTCGATATTGATCGACTCTGGGCGTCGGAATATTACGTCCGACGTTTTTCCCTGAAAGCGAAGCATCAGTATACTGAGGCGCTAGAAGCGCGAAGGAATGCGGTCATCACTGTTCGCTTGGCGACATATGCACTATTCGCTGTGCCAAAAGTTCCTGTGAACTAAAGCGTTAAGTTTTCGGACTTTGACAGTATCGAACGCTGTCCAGTGCTTGACTTGGACGAGAGGCATGATCTCATCCTTTTTATGGGATATTTTGAACACCATGAACCACGGATTGATTGGCAGTCAAAGACCTTTGGCGCAACGCGCACTGTTCCTTGTGTATCTTTGTAAATTAACGAATTCACTTATGAAAGTCAACAGAAGCGCTTTTGGCGCGAGCCACAGACTGAGACAGTCTGTGTGCTTGACATCGGTATGGATGACTCGTTGAGTTGATAGATGTCCAATACCTTAGTCATCATGAGCTGAACCCATCTGGTGAGCGTATAAGGCACGTAAGTACCCACTGAGTAAAGTTGGCCGTGGTTTCGACACACTTAATGTCATTCAAGACATTTATGGTGAAGCATTAAGTCATCAAGGGCGAGGCCGTGTTGATGAGCGCGTAGTGGCACGTAAGTACCCACTGGGTGGTGATCTCACTGGAAGTGACTCATTACCAGATGTCTGTGATGACATCAGATCGGAAATAGATCAAATCAAAATTGACACAGTTTGTAACCGTTAGGACAGTGTATTCCAAGATGTCGGTAAAGACACCTGTCATGCTATTGGGAAAATTACGGTTGACGCAGTTCGTCACATTGAGGACAGTGTCGTTCCAGTCGTCGGTAATGACATCGGCCCTGCTATTGGGCAAAATGAGGTTGACGCAGTTTGTCACCTTGGGGGAGGTATAGTCTCGGATGTCGGTAATGACATCGGCTTTGGTGATGAGCAAAAGGGAGACTTTCGTGTTCATCTCGGGGACTTTGATGTTCCGGGTGTCGGTAATGACACCGGCTCTTGCATAATGCAATTTGTGTGAAAAAGATGATGCAAACAAAGTTGGGAATGAAATTTTCCAGTCTCTTTGAGACATTTAGTCCCGTCACAGAGACGATCGAGACGCCAGGTTGTTGTTATGCAGCGCAAGGAGTCTGTTACGTAACCGAGTAATGCTAACGAGAAGCTATTTTACACTTGTTAATGGAGTAAACGGTGATGTAGATGGGTCAGTAAGTCTTGAGACCCTACCCTCACTTAATTCTCAGTCATAGCTAGACGAAATGTCTGTCGATGAGTTTGGCCTGACCTTAATGTCAAGTGACTTATTTGAAAGTGGTGCTCATTAGATTTGGTAGTGAGTTGAACTCGTCGACCCTTTTTGACGAAGCTATCTTGGAAGACACAAAGGGGGCACTGAGTGCTCGAAGTGGGTAATCGAATTAAAAGATCCTAAGTATCTAATTTATGCCTTATTTATGGAGTTTCAGGATTTGATTTGTTACA